CCCCCCCCCCCCGGTGGAGGTCCCGGCCCCGGACAGCCATAGTGGGGGGGGGTCCCAGCCCTCCTGCCCCCGGGGTGGGCGGGTGATGGATCCCTGCAGCCCAGCTGCATATACACAGCTGCAAATATTTGTGTCTTTTTGTAAACCAGCCCTCTCCCGCCTCCGGCTGGGGCAGTTTCTGCAGCTTCATGCAGCCACCTCCGCAGCGAGGGTGGATGCACCCGAGAGCGGGGCTGGGCCAGGGGATGCTGAGCCATGGGAAAGGGCAGAGCACCCCATGGCACCCCACAGCCCTGCTGGGGACCAGGATGGGGACCAGCCCTGGCTGGCTGGAGACTTCATCCGGGCTCAGTGGCTACCAGCTGCAGAGGGGCTGCTGCAGACGGGCCCGGGTGGCACTGGGATCACAGCGTGATAGCCAAGGTCACCAAGAAGAGCCGCCAGTGATCGCTATGGAAACACTCCATGTTTGGTTCTGGAGATCAGAGGCGTTTTCTTGGCCTTTTTCCCGAGGAAAGAGGCCGAGGTGCTCCCCATTGTCCCCTCAGTGCAGGCAGCGTGGGGCCCTGCGCTGGGTGCTTGGCAGGGGGATGCAGGCAGCATGGCCCCTGCTGGCCCCTGCCAGCCCTGAAACACATCAAGGGAAGGGGATTTTGGGGTGCTTTGGGATCAGCCACCACCAGGGACAGTAGCCAGAGGCAGGTGAGTGGGGCAGAGTGAGGAGGAAGCAGGGAAGCAGCAGCAGAGAGTGGCAGGGGGGGGGGGGGGGGGCGGGGGGGGGGGGGGGCAGAAGAACCGCATGCTGCTTGTGATTTGGGGTTAAAAACAATGACAAACTCAACATGCATTTGCATGGTAACTGTACCTGTGAAACGTTACGTTCGTGCTTCGTTTCGCTAAGACAAATGCAATGTTTACTTCTTGTCAAACTTCATTTGTGAAATTAGCATATTTTTTTTATTTTGTGCGATTGGTTGTGATATGATACCCCCGGAGACCCTTCTCAAGATGCTGATTTCTGTTTGTTACAGTGAAGGGATAATAACAGATCTTTACTTCAGTAATGTGTCGATACTTTGCTACTGGCCAGAGATTGTGTCCGAGTTAGATTTTTTTAAATTATAATTAAATATGTACTATAGAATGATTTCTCACTGTATCCTGAGAATGTATAGGTTATCTACAGTGCAGGGTTTGGGTGGGGTGGGATGGGGGTGTGATTTACTGTCAAAGCTTCATTTATTTTGCAGCATATTGTTAGCAAGACAAATCTGCTACATGCCACAACGTTCCTGATGCTCTGTCTCTGAAAACCACAGCAGGAAGTAGGCAAAGACGTTGCCTTCTCCATGGCAAAGTGACATTCATATATTTATTTTCTAGCATGCCGTTCAGAAACTGCCCAGTTCATAGACTTTAGAAGTTTTATTTTGACAGTGCATGTTAACCTCTTGTTCTTTCGTTGAAGTATCTACATCGGGTGCTCTTCCATGTTGATAGCTTTTGGCATGCTCAGAGAACACAGTTTTGGCTTCAGTTATCAACACGGTAGGAAGCTGTTTTATGACCGTAGCGAGCCCCGTCTGTCCTGTTTTGGGATCAGCAGCTAGTGACCAGCGATGATATTGGTGCTTTGAGACGAGCAGTTTGTGCCAAGTGTGTGATGGCCTTTCTGGCTGCTGTCCCCAGCAGCTGTCCCTGCTGTCCCCTGCCCTGGCATGGCCTGTGCTGGGTCCTGCTCAGAAAGGGGCATCGAGGTCTGTGGACCAAAGGATGCTCTTCGTGAGCCCTGGCCTCTCTGAGGGCTTTGCTTGCAGGATAAGGTGTGGTGCTTCTAGCAAAGGTCCTCGCTGCTGTTCTCTTATGGGAAAAGCTGCCCCTTGTGCAGGTGAGAGGGTCCATCCGCCTGCCAGCTGGTGGCACATGCGGGAGGACGCGAGCGTGGTACATGGCGGGGATTAATCGGTCCCTGCAGGTTAGAGCCGGACTGTGGTGCCGGGAGGACTCACGTAGCTCCGCAGCCGAGCTGGGGATTGCTGGGGAAGCGTTGTGTTCCGTGGGCGTCCAGACGTTTCCTCGGCTCTGGCTGCCAAGGGGTGGTGGGTTAGGCGCTGCCGCCGCAGATGGTGACAGGTGCTGGTGGGACGATGGGGCAGGAAGCAGCCTCTGCCTGCGGGATTAGCTGGGAACGGGGCTGGCTGGGAGCACGAGGAGCCCCGCATCGCTGCGGGGGGGAGGCTTGTGCCCATCCCAGGGTACTCCCATGTCCCCCAAGCCCACCTGGCCAGGAAATCAGATGCTCGGAAGGGAGATGGTGCTTGGTTGGGCTCCAGGTGAACTTCTACTCAACTTTCTCTACGGGGAGAGGAGCTCCAGGAGCTCTCAGCAAACCATCTGCTGCTCGGGCTGAGCGGCACCGGCAGCCAAGGCTGCGTGGGAGCGGGCACGGCGTGTAACAGAGCAGCTCCGCATCGTGCCCACGCAGCTGCCGGCTTGCCAGTGCTCCAGTGCACCGTGCTGCAGGCAGCCCCGCAGCAGAGGGGTGCCTGGCTGCGGACCCCATCCTCACCAAGGGCTGGCCAGGAGCGGGTCGGGCATCGCCGTGGCCGGCTGGATGCTGCAAGTCAGATGATGCCAGTGAGGATTTTTCCTGCTTTAATGGCGGATTCATGTTGCCTCTTCTCTGGCCTGTCCTGACAGAGGGCAGCTGGACATCGTGGCCTGGTAAAGGCCATGTGAGGAGTTCTGGGTCTTCAGTTGTTTTTTGAGTGTTTTTCTGCAGCCCAAAGGGAGCCAGCCTAGGAGCTGGGGACTGAAGGTGACGCTGCTGGCTGCACCGGCAGGCTGCCCCAGGGCCAGCTCCTGCACATCTCCAGCAGCAAGGGCCACAGCTGGGCATGGGCACTGAGCCTGTCCCCAGCGCCACAGTCGCTGTCCTGGCATTTGACAGTGCACGGACACTCACCAGCCAGGTGGATCAGCTCTAGTGTGGGGAAGAGGCATGTGGGGTCGGCCAGCTGCCGGGGTGGAGAAGGGCCTGGGAGCACCAGCCCTCCCTGTTCCTGGTGTGTAGGAGCCGTGCGTTTTTCCCTCCCAGGGGCAGCCATGGGCAAGCACAGCAGCAAGCTGGCCCCGGAGATGCTGGATGACCTGGTGAGGAGCACGGAGTTCAGCGAGCAGGAGCTGAAGCAGTGGTACAAGGGCTTCCTCAAGGACTGTCCCACCGGCATCCTCAACCTGGAGGAGTTCCAGCAGCTCTACATCAAGGTGGGCTCTAGCCGGGGGCCTGAGTGCTCGCTGTGGGGCTGGAGCACCCTGCTCCTGCTGGGGCAAGGGTGCTGCTTTGGGTGCAGCTTCCCCACTGAGCTCCCCCTCCCCATTTTGATCTCTCTCTTCTCTCCTCCCTGCAGTTCTTCCCCTACGGAGATGCCTCCAAGTTTGCCCAGCATGCTTTCCGCACCTTCGACAAGAACGGTGATGGGACCATTGACTTCAGGGAGTTCATCTGTGCCCTGTCTGTCACCTCCAGGGGCACCTTTGAGCAGAAACTCAACTGGGCCTTTGAGATGTATGACCTGGATGGGGATGGGAAGATCACACGCTTGGAGATGCTGGAGATCATTGAGGTACCGGTGCTTAAAATCAGCAGGGGTAACTTGCTTTTTCCAGGCTTTTCACCGCTGTTGGGTCCCTTTTGGCACCAAAGAATGAGTTTTCCTGCCCAGAGCCTTTTCTGAAAGGTACCTGGTGTGCACCTGGTTGTAGCTGTGCAGCAGCATAGCTCATGCCAGCAGCTAACTGGGTCCCAGCAGAGCAGCAATCCTGTCTCCTGCCTTGTCCTGGGGCCTTCTGCCCATCCAACATTCCCGCTCTGGTACTTTGCTTCTTTTCTTGCTCCAGGCCATTTACAAGATGGTGGGGACTGTGATCATGATGAGGATGAACCAAGATGGGCTGACGCCCCAGCAGCGTGTTGACAAGATCTTCACAAAGATGGACAAGGACAACGATGACCAGATCTCCCTGGAGGAGTTCAAGGAGGCAGCGAAGAGTGACCCCTCCATCGTCCTCCTCCTGCAGTGTGACATGCAGAAATAGAGCCCTGGGGGCTCATTGCTGGACTGGCTGCAGCCAACCTCTGCTCCCCGTGATGGTTTCCATCCCCATTTTCTGCTGAGTCCCCCCTGTGCCCGCTTGGCCCCAGGTGTGAGCCACACTTCACCCCTCCTGCCATCCATCTGCCTCTGCTCCCGGCTGCGTCCTGGGCAGCCCACAGTCCATGGGCTGTAGCTCTCCCTTGATGGGTAGAGCCCACTCTGGGTATTGCTGTCTTGAGGTTACCCCCAAATCAACCCCCTCCCATCCTGGAGCTGGACTCCCTGCAGCCAAAGGTGAGCGTCCTGGCTCCCCAGGGCCAACTGTTGCTTTCTCCCTGCTTTCCCCACTGCTCTGCCTGGCCCATTCCCTGATCCTAACTGAAACCAGCTCTTTCCCCTTTCTGCTAATCCCCTCCCTGCCCCGCCATCGCTTGTGATGCCTTCAGGGAGGCTGAAAAGCCCTAAGTCCTGGCCCTGGTCACTCCTTCACTGGCAATTCCCTGCAAGGCTGTCCGGAGGGGCCAGGGCTGGCCCCAGGGTGCTGGGGAGCTCGGGCAGGGTGCTGCACCCTCTCTGAGGGCTCACTGCCTTGGCTCCCTCTGTCTGGCTTTAGGTTTTCCACCTCTGCTTTTGCTGCTGGGAATGGCCAGGGTTGGTCAGGGGACTTTAGGGGAGAGCAGAAGTGTCCAAGGCCACCCCTGGATGTGGCCGTTGTCTGATCCCAGAAGCCACCTTCCACTCCATCACCTGTGTGAGCTGGCAGAGCAAGTAGGTGACCTCCACAACTGCCCTGGCAGCATCTTAGATGCTTTGTGGAGCTTCTGACCTTCCTGGGTATTGAAGTGATGTGTGGGGTCCCAAACTGAAGGCAGGTGCTGCCCAACTCCTCTGCGGGCTGCCCTGGGGCAAGGTCGGTAGCGTGAGTGTTGAAGGCATGTCCTGGTGCTGCTCCTGGTGTGTGGCACTACTGTGGGGGCTGGTGGGTCCTGGAGTGGGGCTGTGAAGAGGTGTGGATGGGTCCTGTACCTGCTGAGCCTCCTGGCAAGGCTCTGAGGCCACAAGAAACATGTCTGTCTCCTTCCTCCCCCCCATCCCAGCCTGCTGCCTTTGTCCCTCCTGCCCCAGGACAGGAATATTGTCACAGATAGGTATTTAGTCTGCACGTTGTGGTGTTGATGACTGTAATATATGTTAGGAGATGGTGAAGTTGTTCTCTATTTTTTTAATGGAAAAATAAACTGTCCCCCATGTGTGGTGTTCCCCCCGCATGGCTTATTGGGGGGCAGCTGGCTGCTGTAGCTATGGGGAGAGTGAGATGACAACACTGCAGTCCTGAGCATCGTTTATGGGTCTCATCTGAGCCGGTGACACTCCAAGGGATGGAGAAGCCCTTGGGGACAGTGTGGTGGGGCTCAGCCCGGGAAGCCTTGAGGATGGATGAAAGTGTAACTCTTCAGCCATGCAGGTAGCTTTGGGGAAGGGAATGTTAGCTTTTTGGGGGGGAATAGGACCAGACATCCCTGGTCTGTGCTGGAAATAGGTCTTTGTCAACTAGGAGCCTGGACCCTGGCTGTTCCCTTCATTCAGGGCTGGGCATAACCAGAGGACCTGGTGGCTTTGTTCTGGGCCCCATCCCAGCACCATCAGCAACCGGGACCCGCTGTTACTGTGTCTTTGTCCTTCTTCTCAGCCTCTTCTTCTCCACCCCCATCTTCCCTGCACATATCTTCCTCTGGCCTTTCTTCTCCATCAGCAGCCTGCAGAGACAGTGGCTGTTGCTAAGGAGCTCTCACCAACTTTAAATACCTCCCAGTAGTTAATCAGGCAGGGCTGGCTCTTGGCTGTGAGCCTGGCTGTGCAGTGCCACTGACCCCGTCCTGCCTGGCTCCAGCGTGCAGGGAGGTGCGTGGCTTGGCTTCCACCCTGCAAATCACCAGCATCTTGTCTGTCCTGCAGCGGCCAGCACCTAAGCACAGAGATGGGAGGATGCCAAAACCATGGCAGTGTGTATATTTTTAGGAGTGCTGCTGAGGGAGAGCTCTGTGCACTTTGGATTGGGCTGCCATGCTTGCCTGGGCTGTCTGGGAGCGTGCATGTGTGTTTGCAGCTCAGCGGTGCCTGGAGAAGGAGGGACGGGGCAGGTTGTCCCCACTGTGTGGAAGCCTGGAGACGTGCCAGGGCTGCTGTCTGAAAGGGCAGTAACTCAGGCTCAAGAGGGGACTCTAAGAATAGCCACGGTGAGCCCGGGGCCCTCGAAGCTCTTACTTCCCTTGGGGACCCCCAAAGGAAGCTCAGGTATTTCCCAGGGGCAACCTGCAAAGGCCCTAGGGGAGGGAGTCTTTGAGGCTGAAATGATGTTAAACTCCCAGAAGGGCATCCCAAAGGGTTTGGGATCCAGGCAGCTGGGCGAGCCCTTGAGCCAGCACTGTTCACCAGCACTCAGCTTCCCGCTGGCTCTGCTCTCCCGGTTGAACCTCAGAGCAAGCAAGGCTGTGTTTGATCAGTCTCATGGGCAGGGACGTGGGTATCCCTGAGGGTGTGGTCTGTAGGGAGGGTTGATGTTCAGCTGCTGGCAGAGCTTTGGGCAAAACCCTCCTGCTGGCCTTGGTGCTGGGATTCTGTGACCTCCCAGGCACCGCCCTGTGCCAGGTGACATGAGGTGGGATCCTCCATCACTTGGCCCTTCCTGACTGCTGAGTTTTGGTCTCTGGGGCACGCTCCCCGAGGGTCTCCGGGCTGTGGGGGTCTGCTGGTCGTGGTGCAGTTTTCAGCCTGAGCTGAAAGCTGGGCACTACGCACAGCTCTGTGGCTGGACTCAATCCCACCAGTACTTGTGGGAGAACATTGAGTGAAGAGCCTTAATTAATATCCACGCTCACTCCATTAACTAGCACACAGTGCAGGTTACTCTGGCACGGAGTAGAGTGTGAGCAAGCTTGTGACCCACCATGCAGCCGCTGCCGTGGCTGCTCCTTCCCCCCCGCGCCCACGCGCCGGCCACCCCCTGGCATCGGTGCCGCGCTGTGCTTTGCAAGAACGGGCAAACCCCAGCGACCCCCGATGCTCTTGGGCTGAGAGTGGGCTGTGTCTCCCGTGGGTACCCTGTCACCGCCTGCTCCCGTGTGCTTCCCAGCCTCTCTGCTGATGGCACCTTTCTCCCCCAGCACCTTTCTCCCCCAGCCCCTTCCCTTCGCTCCCCGGGGCTTTGCTGCCCCCGGGGCTGATTCTGCCCTGGAGCGGCTGCGGAGCGCTCCCGCCTCCATCCCACCCCAGCACCCCGGTATTTAGGGGGGTGTTGCGAGGCGGGCGGCGGCGGGGCGGGCT